AGGATAACAAGAATCATAACACCAAGTCAAAATAGGATACAACTTATACAGACACCCCGCTCCAAACACCCTGGGTGGGGGTAACAAGACCCACGCCCTTAAAATATATATCCTAAAGACTACTCTCCCTACCCGGTGGCCTTGAAGATTCTGCAATAGGTGTTTTCACAACTGGAGACCCAAATACAGAAAGAGACCGTTTGTCACTTGTCATGTAAACAAAAGGACACAGAAATGAGGCCAAGGCTTGTCCACATTTACTAGGTCCTGAGAGAGCTAGGGCTCGTTCCAATTTGTAGAAAGGTGAATTAAGAAGTGGTAGCTGGCCGGGTGATGGTGGCGCACACCTTTAATCCCAGCACTTGGGAGGCAGAGGCAGGCGGATCTCTGTGAGTTCAAGACCAGCCTGGTCTACAGAGCTAGTTCCAGGACAGGCTCCAAAAAGCCACAGAGAAACCCTGTCTCGAAAAAAAACAAAACAAAACAAAAAAAACCCAAAAAACAAAAAAGAAGTGGTAGCTGAAGGCTGGAGAAATAGCTCAGAGGTTAAGAACACGTGCTGCTCTTATAGAGGATGCAGGTTCAGTTCCCAGCATCCATATGGTGGCTCACAATCGGGGACCTGACCCTGCCTTAGTTAGGATTGCTATTGCTGCTATGAAACAAAAGGCAATTTGGGAAGGAAAGGGTTTATTTCACTCAGTTCCATACAACACGTCATCAAAAACAAGGAGGGCAGGAACTCAAGCAGGGCAGGAAGCTGGAGGCAGGAGCTGATGCAGAGGCCATGGAGGAGAGCTGCTTACTGGCTTGCTCCTCATGACTTGCTCAAGCTGCTTTCTTTTAGAAAGCAGGAGCACCTGCCCCACTATGGCGCCACCCACAACAAGCCAGGCCCTCTTCTGTCAATCACTAATGAAGAGAATGCCCTACAGGCTAGCTTACAGCAGGATCTTATGGAGGCGATTTTTCTTAGTTGAGGTTCCCTCCTCTCTGATGTCTCTAGCTCATGTCAAGTTGACATAAAACTATCCATGACAGACCCCTTCCCCTTGCATCCTCAGGCATCAGGCAGGGATGAGGTGTACACAAGGAAAATGGTCATACTCATAAAATAAACACTTCTTTTAAAAAAGAAGATGTATTTGGCACAGATGATTGCAACTCTTTGCTAGTTTTCTTGTCTTCCCCACCCTTCTAAACATTTTGAAGGTACTTTGCTTTTTGGCCACCTGGAGTTCTATGAATTATAAAAAGCCCGATTTATTAAATGAGTTAATAGTTATAAACTCCTCAGAACGCAGAGCACTAGGGTGTTTATGGAATGAATCTATACACTCCTTTCTGTCTCGTCTCATGGGGACGCTTAGGGACGGCAGCACAGCAACTCACCCTGCCTGTCCAGATGCTCTTTGTGGTGCTGATGTCCTCCCTGCCTGACTGTGCACCTCTCTCTGCTCTCTGATCCTCGGCAGTTCTTTCCCCTCTTTCCACCGTTTAGACCCTGGTGTTCCTCGGCCCATCATCTCAGACCATCCCCCTTCTGCCCTCATCCTTCCCACAGTGGCCCTTTGCAGTTTGCTTATGCCTGGCGCCTACTTGACTGCAGCCACCACAGGGAAAGGAGATAATTAGCTCTCCTCAGCCTGGCAGTCTGTAAAAGACAAATTGAAGTTCATTTCAATAACAGCTTTTTTCATCTGTTTGATACCAAGAATGCTAGTGCCACTGAATCTTTTTTAGCTGAAGTTTTGCGTCCATAGGGACAGTTATGGTCACAGTGGCCTGGAAAGGAGGCAGGTGTCTTACCAATATGGCTCCCTCATGCTCTTCTGTAGGGAGAGCGCCACTTCTTTGTCCACTACGTCTGCATTCCCATGGGAAGGAATGTCAAGATGTTTTCAGCTAATACAAGCCACTTTCATTTTATTGCACATTGTGTGCGTGTGCATGTGTATGTGTTCGCGCGCGCGCGCGTGTGTGTATGTGAGTGTACGTGTGTGTGTGTGAGTGTACGCGCGTGTGAAGCATTCCAGAGAATAAAGCTACCCAGATTATCTGTTTCTCACCACCATCTCAGATGGAGTGAGAGGCCATTACTAATCAGGAACAAGTGCTGAGCTAAGGGCTAAAGGAGAGAGCATGCTGGGGGAGCTTGCTCCAAGGAGCTGCCAATGCAGGTGTGGGGCAGAACATTTGCACAAAAAGGGAGAGTCAGCCCGGGGAAAGGAGAAATAAAAATCAGCGGGGCTGGTCGCAGGGAGGCGTTTGGAATAGTAACAACTACCTGTTCTTGAACCCATACTATGCAGTCACACTTTAAGTGAATTCTCTTGACTCTAACCTCAGAAGCTGTGGGAAGAACTAACTATAGGAACTATCTTTACAAAAGAAATCAAGTTCTTAAGTGTTGTGCTGACAGCGGTGTGGAAGGAATAAGTTGTTGTATCACCCACTGCCTTAAGCCGGGCGTTGGTGGCGCACGCCTTTAATCCCAGCACTCGGGAGGCAGAGGCAGGTGAATCTCTGTGAGTTCGAGACCAGCCTGGTCTACAGAGCTAGTTCCAGGACAGGCTCCAAAGCCACAGAGAAACCCTGTCTCGAAAAACCAAAAAAAAAAAAAAAAAAAAAAAGGGAAACCTGTGTGGTTTCTGCCTTCACTGAGCTTACAGACAGAAATACACTCCCCAGTCTGGTAGCCACTAGCCATGTGTGTCTATTAAAATTAATGTTTAGGTCCTCAGTCAGACTAGCTGCATTTCATCATGTGTTCAGTGTCCACAAGTGGATGGAGACCACCGACACGGCCAAAAGCTTTGTTGTTGATCAGCATGGAAAGAGACAGAGGAAGCAGTAAGGAATGAATATCTACGTGGTAAAGGCGGGGTAGAGAGGGATGGGTGTGGGGGGAGCATAATATTGCTACTGCTATTCTTATTCTAATCAAGATGTAGAAACCAAGGTTTGGTGAGGTCAGACAATGAGACCAAGTTCACACACCTGCAAAATGGGAGAACTGAGATTTTAACTCAAGTTTGTCTTTTTCACATGCTGTTTGGGTCGTTTTATGACGGGAATGAGCCAACCCACAGGTAGAAATTAAAGAGAAAAGGCACCCCTGGTGGGAAAGTGAAGTTTTGTGCAAAGGCATAGATGAGCAAGGCTGGCAGAGGACCACAGGCAAACCAGTCTGGCGGGAGAGGCCACGGTTTGCTGAAATCATGTCCTAGGAGAGGTAAGTTGGAACCTGCCTGTCTTGACTAAAAGCCAAGGAGCTAAGAAACTTAGCACTACAAGAGGTTGAGTCTTTATAGGATGGAAGCAGGAGCATGGAGTGGCCAGAACCATGCACTATGAGAAAGCAGCAGTGCTTAGGAACAAGCATCCATGGACAAAGCTAGGGAGACCAGTTAAGGATTAAGGAGACAGAAAGGGATGAATAGGGGTGTGAAGAAAGATCAGCACGGGCCTAGTGATCTTAGATTAAGGCTCGATCCTTTGTGTCACTGGACACTTTCCTTTACTATTGTGGGTTTCTTTTCTCCAACTACATGGCAGGCCCAGATGATCTCTGAGGGTCCCCTTACCAATGACAGTTTATGAGTCTCCAAATGTAAATGACATTAGGCTAAATGAAGCACTAGTTTAAGAAAATTATTTTCCAGTAACAAAACAAGCTAGCTTGTCTTTTATTCGGGGAAGATGATGAGCACGGGGTACAGAGGCAGGATGGACGAACAGTGAGAAAATAATGGGTTTAAAAAATAAAATAATGGACTTGTATTTTTAAAAGTTGTATAGAGTTAGAGGCCGTTGTTTTACACCCCCACCCTCATGATAGCTTTTAAACTGTTTTGACCTATGATCCACAGGTAGGAAATAATAGAAATTACATCAGGTGTCTAGTATTTATACGTGAAAACAAAGGGTTTATGAGACAACAGTTGGCCTTTTTTAAGGGCAATTAGCACTATTTTTTGTTGGATTCTGATAATAATTTGTTGGATTTTCAAAAGCATGTTGCCACCCACTAAATTTGTTTTATAATATATTCATGTGTCAGGACTCAACAAGTTTTTGTAAGTTGGAGGCAATGGCAGGGCGTCCTGTGCAGACATTCAGGAGCGAGCTGGAGAGGCAAACCAGGGCAGGACTCCAGGCTGGAAGAGTTTAAAGAACATTTCACTCGGATCGGAGCGCGGAGCGCGTAGAGAGGAGGAAAACCCTGGAACCGCTAGGTGGGACACTCCCACCGGGATGCTGGAGGAGAGGGCTCTCAGAACGGCTGGGGTCAGCCATTCATCCTGACGCTGCCTTTCCCCAGGCGTTCAGGGAGCTCCCCGGGCATCCTCCGGAGAGGACTACGCGCCCACTCCCTCCATTCATTCCCCTCGCGTGTCGGCGAGCACGGAGCCCGCACGCGCCGGGACCAAGACACTTTCCCCGGCCCCGGGACCGCCGTCGGCAGCAGCGGATCGCGCTCCCCGGTCCGGCCGGCGCGCGCACATTTCACGCGCGCACTCCCAAGCACGCACACACAAAGTTGTGGCCGCCTCCACCGCGGAGCTCCGGTCGGCGGCTGCGGGCCAGCGCACCGCGCTCTCGCCGGGCCCGGCTCGCACGGCCGCTCGGCTCCCCTCGGGCCGCACTCGGCCCCCGCCGACGCCCGGCTCCGTCCTTCGGCTCGGCCTTCCCCGCCTCGCATCCGTGCCATCGGCGCTCGATTGCGCGCGGACTCCCTGGGGCTCTTCCCGGCTCGTTCGCTCGCGCTTGCCCGCCTGCCCGCTCGCGCCCGGCCGCGCCGCCCCGCCCCCGCCCCCTCCCCCTGCTCCTCACGGGCAACTTTTGCCGGCGCCCCCGCCTCACAGCCATGCGGAGCTGAGCTCCGGCCCGGGCCCTGGCCGCCGCAGCCCGCCCCGGCTCCCGCCCTCGCGGACCCGCCCGGCCCTCGGCCTCGGCGCCTTAGCCGCCCCGGGCCGGCCGAGCCCCCCGCGCAGGGCCCGGGCCGCGGCCACGGCGGCGGCGGCGGCGGTGGCGGCGACGCGCCCGCCCGGCCCCCTCCCCCGGCGCCGGCCAAGTGAGGCGGTGATGCGGGCGCTGGCGGCCTGGGCTGAGCCGAGAGCGGAGACACAGGCTCAAGATGGCAGATTCCCACTGAGGCTGAGGGGGCCGAGCTCGCGCGCCGCGTTCCCTTCTCCGTTGCCATGAACCGCGGACACCCCGGCCCCGATGGCCCCCGTGTACGAAGGTAAGGAGCGTCCGGCCCGCGATCCCCTGCTTGCTCGGCCGGTCGCGGCCCCCGCAGCTTTGTTCTGCCCGCGGCCCCTCGCCCGGCAGCCCCCGGCCGCAGCCCCGGGCCCTGGCCGCGGGGGCTCGTGACCCTCCCCGGTGCCCCCATCCCGGGCCCAGACGGGACCGGAGCCGGCCTGGAGCAGGATCTTATTTCCAGGGCAGAGAAGGCGGCTGGGGGGTGTGTGCCGGGTGGGCTGCTGCCCAAAGAAAAGAAATGGGGGCGGCGTGTGGGAAAAGACGAATCCGTGACTGCTTTCTGTTTATTTGTGATAAATGAAGGTGATGCGATCCTCCCCCAGTACCTTTAAATGATCTCCTTCCTACTTGTCTGTTCTCTCTGCTCCCTTTTCCAAACATCTCCACTCCCACCCCACACTCCTTTATTCTTTCCGAGCCTCCGATTTTTTAGGGGGGGGGGGGGGTTGGTGGTGGTGGTGGTGGCGGCGGCTGTGGAATCCGATTGTGAGGGGCCAAGCGGTGAGAGAGGGTAGAGATGAAAAGTCCATTTCAGACCCAGGCAGAACAATGAAATAGGCTCAAAATCTCCCCGCAATTAGCGTGTGGCAGGGAGAATGTAGTTTGGCTTGGGGGGCGAGGGGGGCGAAAGAAGATTTTCTGGCTCGGCCTGGGTGGATCTGTGTGCTGTGCACCTTCACCTGGCGTTGGCTGATTTTTCCCCCCGTTTGACTGTCTTCATAAGAAAGAAAAGGTAAGGCGATACAGCTGCCTCGCACACTCTTTCGGTTCTCTTCAGTCAGTTCCGTCAGCTTGCAGCGAGAAAAATCAAACCCGAATCAACTAAGTTTTTACACTTCTATATGTTTTTGTGTGCTTGTAGTACGGGGGCTTTTCCAACCAAAGTCTGCCTGAATTTTCAGTTATTTCATCGTGAAAATGTTTCTCTCGTGAAATTATTGAAATAGCAGTCTTTTACATACTTTTTTAGCGTGAGTTCATCTGGCTTTCTTTCGGTTTTGTTCAGATATTCGGTGGATGAAATCGCAAATGAGAGGGAAACGGGTTTGCCAGGAACCAAGAGGAGGGGCGAGGGAAGATTGTAATCCTATAAACCCGGGGAACCGTGGGGCCCAGTGAAACTGGGTTCTCATTAATAGTTTTATCTCTGTTAGGAGAGGCTGATTTGAAAAAAAAAAACTTATCTGAAAAGAAAATCTGTTATTAGTTCCAGGGCTCCAAATGAATTAGGTTTCTGCACGGAATAAAGTTACCAGCCTGACTCTGAATAATGAGGCTGTAAATAACCTATGGACTGTAAATATTTTTTTCCAGAGTCTCTTAGAAACAAAGGGGCTGTTTAGAAAGCAACAGAGAAATGTTATTCCAGGGGCTTTCCTCTTTGATTCTGAAGAACACAAGGTCCATTTAACCGTTCCACAAAACAAAACAAAATTTCTGGTCACTCCACCACATAGAATAGGAGCATGCCAATGGGTATGTGAACACCGTAGGAGAGCCCATGTCGGCCATTCATTGTTCGTCTGTTCTAGGGGAGGGGGCTGCAGTCAAAGCTCCCACTGTCTGGAGTGCTAAAATGAAACAGTTTTTTCTTTATTAAGTACCTCCTTGAGACTCCCTCTGCTGGACACTCGGGGTGAGCATTTTAGAAGGAACTTGGCATTGCATTCGCAGCTGTGATAGAGGGCTGCTTTTCTTCTTCCAGGGGCTGGTTAGGTGGTTGGAGTATATTTTGTCAACTTTGTACAAAGCCACCTTAGGGACTGCATTTATCATGTTAATTTCATTTGGAATCCATGAGGAATGTAGGCTACCCCTCCCGGGGGGGGGGGGGGGGAGGCTATGCAAGCCTTAGTATGGTTGGTCCATGACTTTGTTATTTCAGTGGTTATGTCAGATAAGGAATTACAGGTGTGTAAGGTGCTACAGTGTAGGACTGTGGATCTCGGGGGTCTCAGTTCGTAGTTTTATTTCCCAACCCTCCTCTATTCCAGGCAACCTAATTTGCCACCCCTTCCATCCCTGGGTTATCTTGAATCTTGTCTGTGGATTCTCTTAACTGTTGTTTTGTTTGTAGTTTTTTCTTCTCTGGAGCATCTCTGTACCTTTTCCTGGTCTTTTCCTGGTCTTGCTCAGCACTACTCCTCTGCAGCCCAGAACCGCTCAGCCCCAAGCTCAGGCCTGCTCTTTTTGTGAGGGACTGTGAGGCTTGCTGCGAGACAGATAAATGACCTCCACAGTCAAGGACTGTGCTCTGGGGACCTGCATTCACTCACAGTGTGTGTGTCCAAGACTGCCGTGACCTCTCCCTTGACCCGCAGTGACAATCCGTGGATTCAGTGAACCTGATTTTTTTTTTTTAAATCATATCTCAACCAAACCCAGGGACTGTGCATGTGTGAGTGTCGTGCGTGTGTGTGTGTGCTCGCGCGCGCTTATGCATGTGTGTGTCTTAAACGAGCAAGACTTCTTTCTCCTGCAGACTTCTCCGAGAAGAGGGCTTTTGCCCCCTAATAGTTCACATGATTCTTCTCAGAAGTCTAATGACACACGAGACTTTTTAGCTGGAATTTCTCAAATGGAGTGTGACCGGAATACTGAGTGAAGGCTGGAATGTAGAAATTTAGACAGGCATGCTGCTTTTGCAACAAAGCGTATTTGATAATACAAAATAAGTGAAGAAATGTAGTCAGTCTTCTAGGACTTTCTTAAAGAGTAGGGTTATAAGCAGCATGCTAGTTTTCAGTGGCTTGATACTGATCAAGTTAAAATTCTTGTAAAAAAGGGGCTTTATTTTCTTTAGAAGGTTAAACATTTGCCTTGTGATTATATTTCTCCATCAACTTGCTTATCAAGCCCTTTTCAGTATGCAGTGCAAAGGTCAACCACAGGGGTCTGTATCCCTATGGGTTCCCAATTCCAGGTTAACTATGTCACACTTACCTGAGATGTGGCTTGTTGGTGAGCATGGAGGAAACCAAACCTTTCACATTCAGCTTGTAAACACTGAAGTCCCTCATCAGGTGGGCCACCAAACTGAGTCATCTTCCCTCAAAAGAATTTTATGACATATCAACTATAATATCTTGGCCTGTGTTTACATTTTCTGTTTTTAAAGTTAGTAAGTATAGCTGTTGTTTTCCTTGTTGCTACATTTGAATAGTGAAGCAAAACTCATTAGTTTTATTCTTGATACTGGACAGGATGGCAGGACATTCAAATCAGAGAAGCTGGAGTTTGGACCAAGCTTATGACCTTGGTATCTTACTTTTCAAAACTTTTAGCCTTTATTGGGTTGTGTGAGGAACCTGATATTTAGTGGAGTTCCAGCCTAGAGTAGGCATTTTCCTAGTATGTGTTAAATCCCCCTGTCTTCTGAGTTGCTTACAGGGATGACATCCCCAGGGAAAGTGTAACCCACAAATAGTTTAGAAAATCAGTAATAGCAACATTTCAATTCAGTTATTAATCTCCTACTGTTCCTTTTGGGAAGCAGCAACAATAAACTCCCCATAGCCATGGAAGAAAGAACCTTTTTTTTCTCCTCTGTGACCTTTCTAGACTGTCCATGCCTGTCAAGTTTCTGCTGGTTTCAGGTAGAGAATGCCTCTTCCATATTACAAATGTGCACTCAGATCCTAAGACAGACTTTGAGGGGCTGCAGCTGTGTTGCTGGGAAGGCATCCCTAAGAATGAAAGGGAACCTTTGCCCTTAGCAGGGACCCACTACTATACAAGGTGGCAGGCTGGTTGCTTACTGGTTCTTCTTAGAGGAGAGCTCCTACTCAGCCACATGCCAGGGTCTGCCTCACTAGGCATTAAATATGAATTTCTTACCTGGGAGAATTGGAGGCTTTATGTAAATTATAGCTGCTTATATTCTTCATACTTTTTAATTCATGCTCCTTCATTTTTTTCTTCCTTTCTCGCATAGAGATCAGTCTTAAGGATCTACCTTTGAGGTTTGCACGGAACAAAGTAGTGCTGATCAGAGGGTAGGACATTTGTGCATTTTTTATTGTTCTCTGAATGCATGCTTTGCAAGTGCTTTCTGGTAGCCTTAGTATGACGATTCAACCGCTTGGGGTTGCAGTCAAAGGCTGGATTCAGAATAATACTAGCAGACTTTGTGTAACCACTAATAGAGTGTGAACTTGAAAGGCCCAAGCTCATAATAGCTCCATTTCATGTGACAATACCTTGTTGAAGGAGGGGAGAAAAAAACCTAGAAAATTGAAAACCCAGAGTACAGGAAGATCTTTATTTTTTCTTTAAAAGAAACTGAGAATGATAGGGGTTGGTGATGGTGATTCTGACTTAGACTGTGATTTGGGTCATGTACTTTCTACACTCTCTACATGCTGAACTCCCTGTTTGTTCCCTCATTCTGCAGACCAGGGTGCATCTTTCATGCTTTCAGTGAGCAAACATTTACAGAGGCTCTGTGTCCGGGGCCTCGTGGCAGGTTCTGTGTTTGGAGAAATGACAAAGACCTGACCTCTGACCTCTAGGAGTTCAGGAATAGAGGAAGTGAAAGTCAAAATATTTAAAGGTGTACAGACTCACTGGGGAGTGTGTCTGACCCAGATGCAATGGTTGCTTGTTTGTTTGCTTTTGTGTATGTCAGTTCTTACACACTTTTGTTTTCTTACGGTGTAAAGGGAAGACTCTCAACTTCCCTTTTATTTGAAAATGTTTTCTTTAGTTGAACTAAAAGAATTATGTGTGAACTTCAAAGCTTCTCATTACAGATTTCCTTAGAAATTTCTTAAATATTAGCATCTCTTTTGTATAGAATGCTGTTTTCTCTTTCGTTATTTAATTTTCATTGTGTATCCTCATCAACACAAATGCAGTTCTCACGTGCACATGCTGCTGGGGCATTTTTTGTTTTCTACATCTAGAGTTGAAGACCGTGCTGTGCCCCTTCCTGGCTTCATGGGCTCACTTGTGTTCCAGATAGTCATGTGGTGGGCACTC